GACTGCGCGCGGCAGCCAAGCATGCATGCTTGGCTTAGAAAGGCGCTGTTTGTGGATCAATGCGCGTTGGCGCTCTTCTTCAAGTATTTTTTGATGCTGATAAAGATTGTGAAGACGTTCCTCCTCCATACGTGCCTTTAAAAGCTTTTGTTTCTCGCGCTTCAATGCATTTTGCTTCTGTTTCTTCGTAAGCGTCGCCTGCAACGATTCAGTCTTAGGGGGCTCAAGAGACGTAAAAGACTTGTTTGTAGATACATGAGAAAATGTACTAATTGGTGCATCTGTCTGATGCAGAGACGCCTGTTCTGCCTGTTCTAACCTGTATATGCGTGGCTCTACTTTATCTATGCGTAACTCAGAGACCTGTTCAGGTCTTTCAGCCTTGTGTATGCGCTGCTCGAGACGGATCTCATCAACAGGCCGGTCAACACGGCGCCGCTTGCGTATTCGTTTAGAAAAAGATGCAGCATCTACTCTCCCTGAAGCAGCCTTATCTTCCATAGAAAAGGCCAAACATGGCATGCCTCGTAGTGCAACATATACAGTTCCTGATATACCAAGAAAGAGAATCCACGATATTAGAGGATCCATAGGAATTAATGAATAAATGGTGTATTAGAGCGTTTAAAATGCTAATATAAAGAAACAGAGATTATAAGTGCACAATGCCGCTAATTGCCGAGTGTCTGCACTCAAAGCTGGAATATATGCTAATAAGAGCAAATATATACGCTAAATAAGGGACCAATAAAATCTAAATCTGAAACCCCCTAGGCGACAGTATACGTGAGCAGTATACGTATGTATACGTATGTATATACAGAGTACGTGTGCTATATTCACAATATAAGCTCTGTAGATGCTGTTCTATAGCCGTCTATCCGCCAATCTCTATACCCGAGCCTTTCTCCCAATGTATTTGCTTATGAGTGCTATGCGTACGAACCTGTCCTTACGTCAGCTCAACATCTCGCATTATATTGCACGGTTTATCTTTTCCGAAAACGGATGTTTCTGAAAAATAATAAATACGATGTAGACACTATAAATACATGACTTCCGCCATATATACATAAGAATATACTGCATCTCTCCAGAATACATTAAACACATTTAGACAGATGCTTCTGGAGAATATTTATGCATATTTGTTTTATTTTTTTCAGACAATTGCTTATCGCTGCTATCATTACTTCCATGGACACCACGGGAGACGCCTGATTAACGAGCTGGGAAACACTACTCAGCGAAACCCTAAACGTCAGGAGGTGTGTATAAAATGATGAGCGGAAAACTAAGCCTCTTGTGTGACACTGTACAAAACAAATACTAGATTGTATACACAATATATGTACATTATATGCACATTATATGCATAAATACGCATTTTATACATAATATGTGAATGTATGTGTAGTATATCTACATTTTATAATGGGTTGTCTATGGTATGTGTATCTGATAGTTTGTATATACAGTGTATAACACTATATATATACCATAATATATATTATATACAGGTATTGCAAACTCTATGCACTTCATATGCCATATGCATACTATATGTATCATATGTTTAATGTGTAAGTCATGTTAATACTATACATATGTTTTGTGCGATAGGAATGTCAGGTAAGACTCTAAGATGTATAAACGGATGCACGTCTTAGGCTATATACATAGCATATGCATTTTGTATGGAGATTGAGTGCAGACTGTAAGCACAGTATATATAGATTGTATGTGTGTATCGCTATACGTGTACGCTGTAATGACAAATACCCGTAGAACGCATACAACTTATATGCTATGTATACATCGAGCACATGTGTCCGTTTTACAATTCGCAATATGTAGCTATCTATATTTATACATAGATATATATATATAATATATCCATTGTATACATCTTGATATGCTATATACAGCAAATATATCTATTATATGTGTATTATGTGTGTAGTATATGTACAGTAGATGCACAATTTATATGTTTTATATATCATATATACACTTTGCGTATATCACGTACTTAGTCTGCATTATATACGCGTTATATGTGCACTATATAGATATTATTTGTGCATATATGCACTATGTATGCCGTATATGCTGCTTCATAAGTATATTCAATTTCTTGTCACAGTCCTTCGTGATTTGCATATTTCGACAAATATTTTGGTCACCACTTTATATATAATAAATATCGTACAAAGCAACGACACTGCGTCGACCAATTTGCGCAATTGTAGGCGCAACAGGCACAGGCAAGTCTCGGGTAAGCAACAATTAAACTCAAATATGCATTTTTTTTGCACAACTAAAGCCATTGCTACTCTACATTTTATATCGGATTTCAAAGAATTTGCTAACAAAAATAGTTAGCTATTGCGCTTGCAGCAGCACTTGGGGGAGAAGTTATAAATGGCGATGCTCTTCAGGTCTATCATGGAGCAGATATTTTGACAAACAAGCCCTCTATAACGGAACGTGAAGGGGTTCCACATCATCTGCTTGGCACGATCGATCGCAGCGATACATACTCTGTTCAGCGCTTTGAGCGAGACGCGCTTGAGATTGTAAGTTGTAGGATAGAGTTTTGGTGTAATTAAGTGGAGAAAGTTATTTTCTATTGTTCTCTGTATTATATGCGTATTTTATACATTGTATATGCGTTATATACGTGTATTACATCTACATTGCGTATCTATTGCATATGCACTGTATATATTGTATACGTTGTCTGCTGCATACAGACTATATACGCAGTGTATGCACCTCGAACTATGCAGACGAGCATATCTTCTAGATCTTTATCAACAATCTTATTTTGCGCTCTTTGTTCTGGTTTATCAGCTTATACATTATAGATTGCAAATCTTCACTCAGCAGGACAATTACCAATACTTGTTGGAGGAACTCATTATTATACACAAGCAGTTCTCTTCAAAAATACACTTTTAACAGATTATCAAGGTATTAAGCGAAAGTTTCTGTCTGAGTTCTCTGCACTAATAACTAAAGATGAAAGGAGTTCAGATAAAGATGTTTTACAACACTCGTCTTATCAAGACCTTTCTTTACTTTCGACAAATGAATTGTACACACAATTGAAAGCATTAGATCCTATTGTTGCACAGAGGTGGCATCCCCATGACCGCCGGAGAATCCAGCGCAGTCTTGAAATTTGTTTGTCTACAGGTCAACGTCCTAGTGACCTTTACCGTGCTCAGCACAAAACAGCAAAAATGACAAATGTAGATTTAGTAAACATTTCTGTGTTGACAGATCAAACATCCACCAATGTTTTAACACATGCTTCAAAGATTTCAAAAGATATTTGTTTGGCACTAACAGACCTTTCTCCTACTTTTGATAATGCTTTTTGTGATAGTTTTATTGACGAATTTGCATCAGATAAAGTCTCTGGAAAAGTTTATACGAATCTTTTTAGTTCCGATAATTTGTTAAAGACATCACTTTCTAATTCTTTTTCTACGGATTTTGTTAATTCTAATTCCTATGGCAACAATAAACAAACACATGATGAGCATCATCGTTTCAAAGCATGTATATTTTGGATATATCGTGAACAAAAAGTGCTTAATCAATTATTGGATAAACGTGTTGAGGAAATGTGTGCTGCAGGTATGCTAAATGACATTCAGATGCTTTATTCGGAATGGGATGCCAAAAATAAGCAAAATAGAACAAAAGATGGTTCAAATAATACAAATGATGGACAAAAAAGAAATACGGAGGGATGCAACTCCATATTAGATACGCAAGATACTCAAAATAAAACACAAAGCGAAATAGAATTATATAACACTTTGGGAGAACACTATAATTTTAAAAATATTCAGAATAATCTTCAGAATTATATTGAAAACAATGTTCATTCTAATATTTCAAATAATTTGCGAGGTATTTGGCAGGCAATTGGTATGCATAAATATTTAGAAAATGATAACCAATAACTATATAGGATTTAAAGCATTTTTGCCTTATCTTGAACTTCCTGAAGATACCTTATCAACAGTAAAACATACATATTTTATGCGTTCAATCGCTGCAATGCAGCTCGCAACCCGTCAATATGCACGAAAACAGATTAAATGGATACGTAACAAGTTATATCCTTTATGTTGTTCATCTGGACCAGATATTCGCTTCTATCTACTAGATGCAACTAATCCTACAGATTGGGAAACTAAAATACAAAATCTTGCTATTACTCTTGTTAAAGGTTACAACGCAAAACAAATAGTATTGATTTTGACGTAAAACAATAGATTTTCTGCATAACTGCCAAGGACCTGATCCCCTTTCTCTTAATGCAACAGCTATGCAATTGTTGGCACCAAAAAAAATACTTAAGTAATTTTTCTGGCGGTACTACCGCTTCTATTGGCTTTTTCTAATATTATATCGTCTAGTTATACATTGCAAACAGAACTTTGGAAACATTACGTTTGTAGTATTTGTAAAATGTCGTCAGGCGAGCCATTTGTTGCTATAGGTTTACCTCAATGGTTAATTCATATACATGGCCGCCGTCACCGTACAAGACTTGTACGACATGGGCAAAAACAAAGAGCAGGGAAAATACTACATACAGAAGAATCAAGCGATTAGGAAAACTCAACAAGGCTTATTATACTTAGTAATATTTAACAGTGCTATTTTTATCAATAGATGTTTAAGATGGACATTAGAAAATAGACACAGAATGCATCAAAAATTAATATTAAAATTGATATTAAAAACTATTTACAATAACATTAAGAATAGTCTGTATTTTTTATTCATTTTTTGAGATTTTATCAAACGCTACCTAACAAGATCAGGTATATCAGAATATTCATAAATCTTATAATTTTTGTCAAGATTATCATGATTTAGATTTAAGTATATTTAGGCTTATATCGAAGTCTAGTTTATAATTTTAACTTAATTTAATATTAGTTTATAATTTATATAAATATTCTTTTTGTTAATCCGGCGTGGTGTAACGGTTAACATTTGGCTCTCTCATTAGGGTGTTCAGCCAAGCTCGGGGTTCGATTCCCCGCACCGGAATTTTTCTTCAAATAAGTTTTAATTTACAGTTTAAATATATTACCAACATATTAATTTTATATATTTTGAATATAGTGTTTTTGGATTCTCCTACATAAATGCATTTAAATTTATCACTAAACATATGAATTATATATCAAAAACTAACAAATATTATATAATGTTAAAATAAAAATATTATAGGAACAGATATATAGTTTTGAAACTAGTTATATACAATATAACAGTAAATATACGTATTTAAATTCTATATATGTATGGGAAATACATGTTTATATACAATTCCAGGGGTGCCGCAACGATATTGGTGTCCGTTGTTTTGCATAGTCTGAGGCACTAAGCTTTGTATAGAGCCTGACATATAATAAAATATATGCAAAGGATACTAGCAGGTAATTAGACACTTATTTTCTGTGTATTTGCTTATATTGCATAAAAAGGTGTCTCTAAATCAATTTCATAATGGTTTCTCCATTAGGCAAGTGCTAATACATAAATTAACATATATTTAACTATTCAAGAAATTACATATATTTTATATGATCCCCAGGATATTATTTCAAAAATATCGGCATTTCTTGCTTTATCACCGCTTGCCATACTAATAATATATGCAACGCTAATTTATAATCGCCGTGAAGCAGAATTACTGCTTATGTATGCAGGACAAGTTGTTTGTGATTTTCTTAATTCTCAGCTTAAACACGCTTTCCAACAAGCACGACCAAGTGGTAAGTATTTACATATAGCTCATTTACATAATGGCTTTGTATAATATAAGCTAACATTTTCTGTAGCAATAATTAGTGATTATGGTATGCCCAGTAATCATGCGCAATTTATTTCGTATTTCGCAGGTTATTTGCTGTTGTGGTGCTTTTTTCGGTAAGTTGTTACTTTTTTGCATTTAATTATAAAGCAAAAGTGTTTCTTCAGTAATAATAGTTTCATGATTTTTTCAGTCCTTTAACTTTTTTAATTTTAATTTTGTAGCCCTCTAACTTTGAATAGAGCCCAAAACTTACCTCAACATATTTGTCTAAGAAATATAGTAATTCTCATAGTGTCCGTAATTTCTGTATGTTTTAGCAGGTTTGGTGTGTATTTTTTGCAAAAGACAATAATTATTATATTTTAGGGTCTATCTTCATTTTCACACAGTATGGCAAGTCATTGTTGGATTTTTCGTTGGCATGATTTTCTCTATTCTATGGTTTTTTTTCATTTCAGTTTTACGTAAAATTGGTCTAATTGATATAATATTACAATCTTGGCTTAATAGTTATTTATACATCAAAGATACAATGAATAAAGAACACAATACAATTAAAAAAGAATGGGAGGCTTGGGTTAAAAAAAAGTCTAATTCTTATAAAGAAAAATAATATTCTACTAAAACTTATTTATTAATCTACTATCATTTTATTCAACGCTATCAACTTATTTAATTTATAAACGTAATAGTTCAATAGATTAGATTATGAATCTAACATATTTATAGGTCAGTGTTTTATTGAATTCTATGTGCATCTATCCATATATTTTTCACTCTTCAACATTTTGTTTACGCATTTATTAAATCATATACTTGTTTCTGTTTTGTTTTACTACAACATCAGTTCATCAACATCAATCATATTGAAAATAGGTTTCTTAATATTATACAAAATCAATGTACCATCATAATATAACATCTAGTATGACTATAAAAAACTGAATATTAAATACAATATAATCTTACATAAAGCTTATAATATTTTGAATGAATTTTTTCCACAGTCATCCCAAGTAGCCCACATGACGGTGGGTCTTCAGGAAATACCTGATCAACAATCATAGTGTAACTTAATAATATTGAGCCATCATCACAATCTATTACACTTTTTACCAAATATATTAGACACGCTTTACCTTTCTGTGAAGCTACAATACATAATGATAAATCAGGAATAAACTATTAAATGGTTATATCTATATTTCTTACATAGAGGATCTTTTAAACTTTATAGATCCGTACTTACCTCTACCATATTAATTCTATCTATATACCTTAAAATATTCGTTTGGTGAGTATCATTTTCATCAAAAAGATTTTTACATTCTACTAGTAATTGGATCTCTGAAACAGTTTCTTCAATACTACACAATTTTAGATCCTTTTCAGTTCCATAAAGCAATAATTCGTTATATTTAGCAGATGTATAAAATGAAAAAAAAAAATCATCCTATAATCATAAATATTTAAGTAACATTAATATGTAAATCTACATATTCAATAAAAGATGAAGAATTTAAACCGTTTGACCTATTAAAGCGATTTCTCCAAAACAATTTTTGAATACCGAGATCATTTAAAAAGGTTTTTTGTATATTCCAAAGATTATCAGTATTTACATTATCCATCGTTTCTTCCCTTTCATCATCATAATCAGACCATCCGTCTGCAAAATATAATATATCCCTTTCATTTATATGATTTTCATGTACACATGTCATTATTATTTGATTCGGAGTAGATTTTAGACATTTTTCAGAAGAATTGACTCTTTCAATTACTTTAAATGCCAAGTTATCAACAAATCCAACAAACCAACCTCTTTTTATTTATATAAATATATGAATAAATATAAATAACATCTTACCTTTGAGAATCTAAATAAACATGAAGAAGCGTACCTGAAGCAACATCCCAGAGTCTACATGTTGCATCAATTCCAACACTTGAAAGAAGCGTACCATTATGATTAAAGCAAATGCTTGGTATATTATCATTATGACCAAGAAATTTATGAGGCCATTCGCCTTTGTCTGTGTTCCATATTTTAAACGGGTTTAAAACACTTAAATTCCATAAACAAATGTCATGTGTATTCGAACTAATAGCCAAAAGTCTTTTAGATGTATGAATAGCAATACCCCATGCACTCCTTTCAGTGTTAAAGATCAATGGGGAACGTAACAAATCATCCGTAAACCAAACATTAATATACCCAGAATCTGTGCAACAGACAAGAACTTCCTCATTACCAACGTATCCTACTTTAATGGAATTAAAAGATAACGGTGTTACTACATCTATTTCTCCACGAATCATAGTATGAGAATCGATTTTACATTTGAGCTGTAAAAACGAGTTTTCATCTAAACCATAGGACTGTGATCTTTCATAAACTCGTATAACATCATTAACAGCTTAAGAGCGTTATCTTCGATACTTAATTCTTTTAAAAAATACCCACAAAAATATTCTTTTTTCCAGCTGCTACTAATCCACATCGCCAATATTTAACCCCTAAAATTTCAATTTCTCTACGATTTTTTAATGAAAAATCAATTTTTAAATCCTGTTTAAAATCTGTTCTATTCATTTTAAATCTTATAATCTCTAAAAAACTTTGCATCTAACAATTTATATTTTTTTCTGTCATTTTAGCTTATCGTCACCTTATCGTACAAGAAATTAAAACAAGTTGACAAGGTAACTATTATATGGGTGTTACTGAAGAGAGTTGATATGATAGTAAGGGGTGATCAAACGTCTGTGTAGTAACACACGCGTATTGATAGAATCTGAAAGAGTTAAAATAGTATCCTTTTATAGTATTTTGACCGCGTTTTAAATATGTTTTAAGGAATTCTGATATATTTAAATATTCTATTTAAACATATATTCATTAATGACTTTTTTGAACAAAGATGAACATATAACAAATGAAGAAGAAAATAATGAAGGTGATGAATTGCCCAGAGATTCCTTGACGTTACTAGAGTTACGTAAAATTTTATCAGATGTCTATGAAAAAGAGGTTTGGTGTTTTCTATGTTTTTTTTGTAGGAATTAATGACGTAATATAGACAATTAAATGTACTTTTGTATATGCAGACACTGATATACATGAAAAAGAACTTGAAGAATGGTATGATGGATGTAATGTGCATATCATTCAAGGGAAAGTTTTTTTTAAAAGCTTTTTTCAAAAAGGTATTATTATTATGATATGAAAGTGATTTAATCGTATTAGAATGGGCAAACTCCAAAATTAAAGAAAAAAGAGAACTTATTAGTTGTTGTTTAGAGGAATTGGACTCAGAAAATGTTAAGAAGCGTATGAAGTCTTTTTTTATTTTATTTTATTTATCACAAGGTTTATTTTACTGTTATTTTTTAGCATTTTTTTAAAAATCTATAGGGAATTATGGAGAAACAAAGAATAAACAAGATCAAATGTATTGGATACATGAAAATAACAAAATTATGAATGAATGTGGTGCTCTTAAAATATTATATAGCTCTATAAGGACATGTATTTGCTCATTAAATGCTTATAAGTATTATATTTAAGTTAGTATTTACTTTATTTATTAAAAAACTAGATCAATTATTGAAAAAGGATCAGATAAGATAGAAATGGATAAAGCAAATTTATTGAAAATAGAATTGATTTGCAAAATGACGTCATTTTACTTTCTTATTGAAACATTTAGATCTGATTTAGAATTTCGTAAAGATGTGGGTAAGATTTTGTTCAAAAAATATCATTATATTAAAATACTTAGTGAATCTTTTCCCTCCTGTAATAACATGGATTATTCAAGAAATTGCGAATCTAAGAGATAATTTTAATATATGGAAATCGTATTTTCCCATCATTAAAGTTCATTTTATATAAAATAATTAAAAATATCTAATATATAAAATTAGACTATCCTGATTCTATGGAAACTTATACTTTGTGTTCTCGGAAATACAAAGGATATCTTAAGCACAAAGCAATACACTAGAATATTGGCAGGATTACCACCAGAACTTAATAAAAAGGAAATTATAGCAACTCCTCTTGATTATCATATATTTAGACAGTACATTATTTCAAAATATCCATCATATAATCCTCCACCGACATTACTGGATATGGATCTAAAATATACTACACTACTTCCTATAAATATAAAAGAAACTGCAACTAAAAGGGCTCAAGAAGAAAATTTTCTTTTAAATA